GTCATTTTTGCTTATTAGTATGGTTGAACTGGATCATCGAAGGTCAGAAGCAAAGACATTGGTTAATATAATGGGATTAAATATATAAATGATATTTGTGTTTTTTAACATTTAATTATTGCAGGTTTGCGTCATATTCTAAGTTGCATTATTTTTATTCATTTTGAGGAATACTGAATCTGCAGTGTTTTTTTTGTGAGATGAATTAATGCATATTCATATTTATTTTAGAACTACAGTAACATCTTCTGATTTCTCTCAACATGGGGACAGGAGAGCTGTCAATCAATAAATTGGAAAAAAAAAGTAACTTATTTGAAAAAGTAACTTATTTGAAAGCACTTTTTTCAAATAAGTACTAAAAGTACTTATTTGAAAAAGTAACTCCGATATTCTCTTGTAAATTAAAAAGTAATGCGTTACTTTACTAGTTACTTGAAAAAAAGTAATCTGATTACATAACTCGCATTACTTGTAATGCGTTACCCCCAACACTGGTAATTAATGTGATTGCAAAGATGATTTAGACTCAGCAGTCATAACTCCAGTCTTTAGTGTCACATGATCTTTCAGAAATCAGTCTGATATGCTGACTTCGTGCTCAAGAAACATTGTCTTCTTATTATTAATGATGAAAACATTTTTGTGGAAACCCTGATGCAGTTTTTTTTTTTTTCTTTCTTCTCCAGGGTTTGTTTGGTGAATATGAAGTTAAAAAGAACAACATTTATTTAACATTATAAAAGTATTAACTGGCAAATGATCAATTTATCCTTGCTGAAAGAAAGTATTACTTTATTAAAATAAAAAAGCTTACTTTCAACTCAAGCTCTCCTTTGTAAATAAGTACTCTATTTATAAAATAAATCAAATAAAATAAAAAAAACTTATGGGAGGAAATTGTTGGTCATGTTAGAAATGGACAGCACAAGATGGAAAGTCATGTAAAAGTAGAAGTTCTTTTTACACATTCATTAACGTTTTGTTTAGATTATTATACTGTAAGTCAAAAACTGAAATGTTTTTATGACCGATTTTCATATTATAAATATCTAAGTCTGGTCCTTGTAAAATAATAAAATCTACACATAAAATGTATGCAAAAGCAATGAAGACATAAAAAATGTTTTCAATCCCGTTTTAATTTGAAATGGTTTTAATAAAATTCAAGCCTGTAGTTGAAGAAACACCCATATGCCTCAGGTACTACATTAAGATTGCTAGCACTAAATCCTAAAGGTCAGAGTTCATCCGTTCACAATGGTGCTGAGGGCCACAGATTAATATGGCACAGGAAGTCCGTAAGTAATTCTGTTGTTGTTTCAGCATGAAAACATACTCTGACCTCACAATGAACTCACAAGATGATGTGCTATTGTTGCTGCATCAGAAACAGGTCCTCTAACAACACTGTGGCACTATGGCTACACTACCTCTCAGCTAGGTTGCCATCTCCTTGGCAACTCTGACTGTGGTTGTTCATCGCCGGAGGTTGGCAAGCCACACAGACACTGTAGCCCTCCCTCAAGTACTGCATCCAGCGCGTGTAGGGTCTGTTCTCCACCATGCACTGCGGTGTCAGAGACTCCATCTTGAACTCCATACAGAAACTGTGGAGCACATGCCATCATCAAGTGACTTAAAAGTTTCCTTTGTGTTAATTGTGAGGAAAAAGTTATAAGAAATAGTCACATTGTGATGTTAGCACTGTTCCAATTCACAATTACAAAATACAAATTATAAGAAGCCACATTTACTAGATATAAAAGTGCAATTACAAGAAGTAAAGTTAAATATTAAATATTGTGGCAGTCTGTCTTTGTGGCTTAAAGTAATGACTATTTGTTGAAATGAGTAAACAGGCTTCTCATCACAAATTCTCATCACGAACAGTGTCTTTGTGCTTGTTTAATCTATGGTGATACATACCCAGCATCCATTGGGGCCCCATACAAATCATGTGTTCTGCCTTTGCTGTACTCCATTGTTGTTATGAATGCTGCTCCTGGAATTAATCCAACACAGTCCCTGTTTGAGTTCCACCTATAAACATCTAAGTGATCAATTTTAGACCATCAAGTTAAAAAAAAAATCCCTTGTTTTTTGATTGAAGCACTGTGTTTTTCAGCTAGAAATGTGTTTTAATCTCTGCCAGTGCAAGCAAGAAGGCAGGACATAAAAAGCAATACTGAAAAAGAAGTACACTTAATTGTATTGAATATGTACGTGTACTTCAAATCTTACAAAGTATATTTTTTTTAAATCTGCTTGCAGATAGTATAATATTAACGAGATAAAAAGAGAGAGTACACTTTCATGTTTTTAACACAATTTAAAGCAGCACTATGTAACTTTTGGCGCTCTAGCGGTTAATAAACAGAACTGCACACATGCCGCGGAAGAACATTCCAACCGGAGCTACTTCTCTAAGTTTATGTCTATGGCGATTCACGCAGGTATGTGTTACTCCGCAGCGGCGACGACCCGACCAGGCTACAATAGTCCAAATATACTTATAATAGTACTTATTATAAGTGTACCGTAGTGGTTCGGAATAAGACAAAAACGCGGTTTGGAAGATGAATTCATGATGTACTCGCTCATTATATACATTTTGCAAATTTTGAAAACAGAAAAAGTTACATAGTGCATAATGTCAAATATATATATTTTTTTTACTTTAAACTACATTTTAATTATTGTTTTAATAATCTTTTGTCATGCTTTAAAGAAGTACACTTATTTTGATGTGTTTACTAACCTACCTACTAAAGTACTTGATATATTAACTGTACTGTGTTTTTTTTAAACATGTATAAATTGCAACTTCATCATTACAAATGTGTAATACTAATTACAAGTGTATACATACAATTTGAATAGAAATTACTTTAAAGTATATTTTAGTTTACTATAAATGTTTGTCAGTACATTCGGAAGCACACTTTACAAAGCCAATAGAAGTAATTATGAAATTACATTGAAAGATGTACATAAGTCCTACTTAAGTGGGTCAAAAAAAAACTTAAGTTCAACAAACTGCATTTATTATAAATGCAAACTATAATACATTTTCATTTAACTGTAAATAACATGCAATTAAATGTCTGAAACATAGCATTCAGTATATATTCTTTTAAAATATATTATTCTATAATAAGTACTGCCAGTTTCGCAAGGGCTCTTTAATTTGGACCTAAAATATAGCCTATGTTGACTCAGATTCATACCTTGCACAGAAGCGCAAAACTGTCCCTGGCGGTCCTGATACTCCATGCATCCGGCCTGTTCCTCCAGCCTTGGACAGGCCTGTCCACTGTTTTGGGGCAGTCTCTCAACGCTGCGTCTCCGAACCCGGAATGAGGGCTGGCAGTGCTGAGTGCACCTGCTCCAGTGACTCCACTCACTCACTACACACAGCTGAGCTACAAACACAACCCACAGGTGAGAAGTGGGACCAAGATCACCAGGTTTTTGACAGATCTACAGTACTCAGCAGTTCAAACCAGTGGGCCCTAGCAAACCTCCAAGGGATCCTTGATCCAAGATATGTCTTATTTTAATTCATTAAAGAACCAGGATTCCACCAGTCTTGAAAAATCTGGATATCTGAGGTAGTCTCATTTAAAAAAAAATTTTTTTTTTTAAAGTGATTAATTAAATACATTTAAAAAAAATTTAAAAAAAAAAAATGTATCCAGTAAATCACAAACAATTTATGTGGCCTACAAATATTGTTGTAGACAGTGGAGGCCTTGGAGTCAAAAAGGTTGAGAACTACTGGTATATAAATATTAATGTGATGTTTGTGTCATGTTGTGACATAGCAAACGACTTATTTGCATTATTAGTGCTATAAAAAATTAAAATGACTCAGGCCTACAACAGTTTTTCAATGGCATTGCATTAACAGTGAGTCAGTGTAGATTTGACAGCTCAGTGTAAAAACAAATACTGCCCTGACAGATCTGTGTAGGATACATGACAGATGACAGAGCTGAATCTGTTTTGCTCAATATTTTTTGCATTTGACAGCTAATGCATTGCTACAGTATGAATGCTTTGATACTGACTGCTCTTGTATAAAAGGAAGAAATATTGTCCTAAAATATAAATTCCTCCACATGCCAATAATCAATTAATGTCTTATGAAGTGAAAAGCTGCATGTTCATAAGAAACAAATCCATCATCAAGGCATTTCGACTTTAAAGGTGCTGTATGTACTTTTTTTGACTGTACTAAAGCATAAAAACACCATAATACATTTGCAGATATTCAGTAAAACATGCTAAGTATACATACTTGTTTCTCTGAAAAATAACGCAACCAGCTATTCTACGTTGAAAATGTGTATTCTGTGTCAGAATGGCTGTTTTTGTTTCGGTCTGTGTGATTCCACCTACTTACAGTTTACCCAATAATATTTCGACAGCCTGGGTTGCCAGTTTGCAGAAAACCCAGCGTACTGCAGCCATGGTAGCGAGCAAACGAACTGGATCAGAAATCGCAGATTCTACCTGAACTAAAAAGCCTCGGCATCTACCTAAAAAGCTCTATGACCACAGGCATCTTAAAACACGGATAAATCAACTCATTATTTTACAGGTTTGTTGCCTTCCATTGTCAGTTGAGCTCGTTCGTGTTGATCTCAATCTGACAACCCGTGTGGGCATTGAGTCTGAGGAGGAGGGGGCGGGTGAAACAATATTTTGAATGTAGACTGAAGTACCAATTTCAACCACTAGCTGTCATTATTACATACTGCACCTTAAAACTATCGCTTCTAGCCAAAATACCAGTCCATAATCCATATGCTTCCTCTGGTGGAAACGTCCATGCCACCGACATATTTGTTTAGAACTGTTTTGGACTGTTTACACTTCTAAACGGTGCTTGATCTGTGCATATTTCTCTCCTGATTCAGACAAGACAACGTTTTCTCTGGAGAAGAAATATTATGGATAGATGACTCTATGAATTCATTTGTTTATTACAGACACGCAGCTTTACACTTCACAGGGTTGTGTGAGGTACTTGATGATTATTGTGATGTTTTTATCTGTTGTTTGAACTCTCATTCTGATGGCACCCATTCACTGCAAATGATCCATTTTCTCCAAATCTGCAATGAAGAAACAAACTCATCTGCATCTTGGATGGCCTGAGGGTGAGTACATATTCCTTTGACTGAAAGTCATACATTAAATATTTGTAGTCTTAAAAATGCATTTGTCACATCATTGTAGCCTACTATTTAAATGAGCTGCATTAATGTATAACATATATAATTTTAAATCTATACTATTTAAAATATGTACTGGTAAATACGTATGTACTAATGTTATAGAAAAAAAAATGTATGCCCAGTAATCTGCCCAAATATTACTGTACCACATACCTGGACACTCTGTTGGGTAGTCAAAGCAACAGTCTTTAGTCTTTAAACACCTCTCATCACAATAACACGTCCCATAGACACGGTCCATCCTCCAGTCTGTAGTGACACAGGTGAAATCTGTGCCTTGACAGCACCTTCCTCCTGAGCATCCCCCTTCAGCAAACTGGTACATCCCAAAAAGAGCGGCCACCACCAAAACGACACTCTGATCCACTGACAACAACCCCATCATGTCCAAAAAGAACTCATATGCTCCCCCAAATAGTCTAAAATGACAAAAGTCTCTGTTACTGTCTTTGGTTCCTCTTGAAGTCAATGTCACTGGTCTCATTGCTTGAGAGGAAATGAACCTGTCACAGGTGAAGTCATGCTTGCCGGAGGAATCCTTGACCTGGAATTCCAGTGGCCACACAGCTCTTCTGTTTGCCCAGAGAATAAACGTGCTTACAGAGAACTAAGGCTGAAAGAAAAGAGCTCTTCTGTGGCTATCAGAGCAGAGGAATTGAATGTCCACCCCGATCTGTCTGTAAAATCCGTCTAGAGTGTCTCTGCCCTTGTTCCAGCACACAAAAGTGGACGAGGTAGAGAAAAAGAGAGGTGGGGAAATGTTGTTTGAGTGAAGGGTGTGTGAGAGCTCTTCTCTCTCTCTCTGCTCTTTTGGCCGCTGTTCCCTGTTGTACCACATCAAACTGATCTCAGATCAGTGCCCAGGCTGTTTCCACCGGACAGCAGAGGCTTGTACAGCAGGGAAACAGTGGGAGGAATGTGAACATTTGGCCTAGCTCCAGTCTCCAGAGCCTGGGGCAACGCACAGCCCTGTTGCTGTCACATCACCCTGCTTCTTCATATCAAGTCCACAAAAGCAGACAGTACATGACTGCATCCACTTCTGCTATGCAAACGCCCATAGAGAGCCTCCATGTTATGCTTGGTAATTAACTGTGGTATGTCTGCGAGGTTTCCTCTTTGGAGTGATGGAAATGTGATTAGGTGCGAGAATTACGTTATTGAATTAGTTCTTATCTAATCAGTATACAACCATAACTGAATCAAAATCAGGATCTGCGTGCGGGTTTATTTGCAACAGTTCAAAGTCCACATATAAACCAGTTTACAAAGTCAAACTGCAATAAAAGTGGAACTAGAAAGTTCAGACAATCAAAAAAGCAAGCGGGATGCATGGAATAGATTGGAGGGGTGTGTGTGTGTGTGTGTGTATACACTGTATATACAATTTTGGAGGTGTGTGTGTGTGTGTGTGTGTGTGTGTGTGTATACACTGTAAATACAATTTTGGAGGTGTTCTGAGTGGTTGTCAGCATTGCTTGGGAGTTCTAATGGTTGCTAGGATGTTTATGATATAATTTTATGTGCTATAAAGTGGCAAACATCACACAAGGCTTGAAAATGTGGATGTTGAGAGTATGTTTTTGTCTATGCTTGGGTGAGACTGCTGTCCCTCCACAGGGAACCATGAGAGGAATGAAGGGCTGCTCATGCACAGAGAGCAGGAAAAAGGCAAAGACGGGATATTAGTGAGAATTAACCTCTAGGAGATCTGTTGTGACTGTCGGCAGCTTTGATTGTTCACTGCAACAAGGGTGCAGATTCAAGCAAGAGTAACACTCTTTAACATCATCATCAAACCACAGGAAATGACATCACTTCTCCAATGGCATTGCTGCAAATGGAAAAATCATGGGAACTGTTCCTCAAAGTAAACACATACAAACACATTTGTATCAAGCTCATCTAGCATCAGCCATCTATTTTATTATAACATGCAGTTGAGAAAACATTGAGAATTAATTTCCTTTCAGATGGTTGAGAGTGCAGCAAGTACATTTTTGCATCAAAACCACTGTATTTATGTGGTTGATTTCCCTGATGTCCCTTGAAACTTGCTCTGTAGAGTCTGAAAAACAGGTTTGAATGGACTTTCCGCATTAAGCATGATTAACTGGATTGTGATGCATTGTGTGTGTAAGGGTGGTTAGTGTTTATGGTGTATAAGTGAAGGAGAGTTATGTGGGGTCATGTCAGTGTTATGCATACCACAGCCCCCTGAGAAAACCATCCTGGATACAAACTGCCAATGTGGATACCAAACCAATGCAAATAAACACTCAGTTAAACCAGCCCCATAGCATTGGTGCCAGATCACCCTTAATATGACGATTAATTTACAAAGATTTCACCCATGCTAATATATATAGCTGTTTATGCATTTTCATCTACACTACTGTTTAAAAGTTTGTGGTTTTTGAAAGAAGTCTCTTATGCTCACCAAGGTTACATTTATTTAATTAAAAATACAGTAAAAACAGTCATTTTTGTGAAATATTGTTACAATTTAAACTACTTTCAATTTTAATATATTTATACAATGTATTTTATTCCTGTGTTAGAAAAGCTAAATTTTCAGATTTGATGCTCAAGTAATGTTTCTTATTATCTATAACTGTCGAAAACAGTTGTGCTGCTTAATGTTTTTGTGGAAATTATTTATTAATTATTATTATTATTAATATTATTATGATTACTATTTAATGAATTTTAATTAATCCTGTTTAGAATTTTTTTTTTTTTATTCTTACTGACCCCAAACTTTTGAAAAAGTGTACAACTTATATTGTGTAAATAGAATAAAATGTTAACAAGGATTTATTATTATTATTAATATTATTATGATTACTATTTAATGAATTTTAATTAATCCTGTTTAGAATTTATTTTTTTTTATTCTTACTGACCCCAAACTTTTGAAAAAGTGTACAACTTATATTGTGTAAATAGAATAAAATGTTAACAAGGATTTAATGAAGATGTTTATTTCCAAAACAATGTGATTAACTTTTATATTGTCACTCTACTAAATCCAAAACAAATTATCAAAATACTTTTTGGTAAATATTTGCTTTTTATTAATTTGCAGCGTATCTTTTCTCCATATTAGAGTAATGTTAGATGTATAACGCAAAAATAATGTATTTCATTTGAATTCCGATTTATTTATTTTTTATTATTTAATTTAGTTTGTTTATAGTGTCTATAATTAATGAGCATTTGTTCAGGTTTCCAGAACTTCCTCTTCACTCAGTTTCCATCTGTTACAGTCTGATGGCTTGTTGATAGAGTGACTCAGCTCTTGGTTATGTAGAGAGCATCCATGCAGACAGCCGTTTCTGTTTGTCTAAGGTGCAGGTGTGCTCTCAATGTTGACACTGGACAGAACAGAGAGTCTGTTTGTCATGCACATCTGAACCAGGGTGCATAGAGAGAGAGCGAGAGCAAAACTGTACTCTATGACAGAATGATGTTTGCCAATAAGATTTCAGAACAACATCGGTTCAGCCATTTTTAAAGACACATCAGTGGAACAGTGACCCCTGCTATCTCGCATCAGGCGATTATGATTAACTCTCTGATTAACTCTCACAGCTCTCACAGTGGACTGATTTTCAGAATCTAGTTCCAGTGAGGTGCTACTCATCATTAGCACATGAGGGAAGGTTGTAAAGCTGTACAGGATGTTCTCTGACCCTGACTAAAAGTAGTGGGTCAATGTCAGTATGTCCAAGCTGCAACTGTTATTTCATCAATAAATAAATAAAAATAAGTGGAACAGCAGGAGTAAAAGTGTGATTAGTTCAATCTCATTTAAATGCATATCCTTGAATAGTGCAAGACTAATGCAAATCTTTGATTCAGAACACATAAGTTTCAAGTTCAAGTTCGTAAATTATAATTATGACAAAATTATGAGATGCTAATTCATTTATATGAGGTTAAAAATAAAAAATGAGGACAAAAATGTCAAAATTATTAGATAAAAAGTCAAGTCAAAATACAAAAGCCAAATCGAAATTATGACATAAATCGAAATTGAATGAATATCCAATTCATATTTATGAGACAAATTGAAATTGAGTCAAAATGATAAAATAGAAGTAGAAATTTTGATAAAGTTTGTAACGGTGATGTAAAAAGTCAACATTTGTCATAATTTTGACTTTTTGTTATAATTTCACATTTTATCTCATAATTGTGACTTAGTATTCATAATTTGGACTTTTTATGCCATAATTATGACTTTCTGTCATGATTATGATTTACCAAATCATTTTGTTTCTTATGTGGTGGAAATGGGCTAATAATATGCCATGCCAACTTTGATAATCTCAGGACCAAAAGGAAATTGAATTCTATTTATTTGGATTGTTTAAATTCAGGATTAAATGTCATTCACAACCTATTTTACTAATGAAATACAAGATATTTCTGAGAAAAACAGGGTATTCAAAAATGAGTAAATAATGTAGGACCAGGACAGGAGCTGATTTTATCTGCCGTGAACTGTTTGAATTGTGGCCTCTGTATGACAGGTGGCTGAAAAATAAGAGGACGCGGTGATGTAAAACCAAAATTGAAAGTCATTTCAGAAGCAGAGCAAGTTATTACATTTTGATGAAAGAAGACAAACTTTTTTCTTTGGAAACACATGCACCAGGGAATCCTTCACAATAAGACCAAAAACAAGTCTTACGAAAGTATAAAGTAAGGGTCAATTTTGATTTGTTGACTTTAAAAAAAGAAGAAAAAAAAGCAGCTTTAGTTTGACATTTTATGTCTCACTATAATCTATCTAAAGCAACTCTAAAAGGTCTCTTATGTTTTATACTGGACATATTAATGTCACCTGATATCAAAGTCATTCTTTGAACTGGACTTCTGTTGTTCGTTCTAACCGTTATATTGAGCTAACCCTCAAAACTCTTGCCAAATCTGGGTCTTTTGATTTGTGGATTTGGCTGTGTTTTGGTTTGGCTTGGGTTCTGTCTCTATTCTCAGATTCATGAAGATAGAGGAGGACACTGTCTACTCTCTGTGAGTGAACTTACTGAAGTATATCATTACCATTAACCTGACTAGGTCGCATTCCTTTCCAGTGCACAGAAACCTCATGTCACTGGTGGTCATTTTATGGACCACAAAGGCCAAATATATTGTATGATACACAAAAGGGGCACATAAATACATTTCATTTTAATTTACTCCTCATCCAAATGTCTTACAGTTCATCCCTTTAAGTGTCTAATCATAGGCATTAGTTTTCAACTACTGTACACTGAAGACAAGTAACATTTATAAGGGCTCTAACCTGTAGGGTTTGGAAGTCAGGCTGATTTGGAGTGAGTTTAAACAAGCTGAGCTGAAATGATAAACCTACAGTAGTGTTTTATTAAAGGACTCTTTGTTAACCGTTTGTTCCAGGTCATTTTGATTGACTAAAGCTGAAAGCAGATGTACCCC